CACCGAATCTGCGTTCTTCCTCTTCCTCCAGTACCTCTTCCTCCTCCAACGCAGCAATGCGGTTCTTCAGACTTTCATACATCATTGTAGGGTCCGGGGCCTCAGCCTTCTTCTTGCCCTTTCCGTGGTGTCCGTTGACTCCCGGACCATGATTGTGAGGTGGACGGGTTTGTCCCGGAGGTGTATGAGTGTGGTTGGGAGGGGCAGGGGGAGGAGCAACGGGTGCTGGCGCCGGGCCATTGGGTGCAGCAGGTTTTGTTGGCCGTCCGGACGTGTTCTGGCTATGGTCCCTGTTGGTTCCATTCATGGTGCGTGCCCCAAATTGGGTGTTCGGACAACAAACTCAAACTATCACCACAACTACATCTTTCCTTTGTAAACGCGTCTTTTGTTCATGAACAAGGCTCCATGCTTCAGTCAGACTTTCAAGTTTCCTGTAATGGGAAGAGTGTTGTTCACTCTCGGACTACTTTTCCACCTTGTTGTCGATGACGGAATAGAAAATCTCAAGCCTCAAGTGGATACGCGACATTGATTGCGGCAGAGTCGATGCTCGCGCATGGCCAGTCAGGAATAACCACAGCCGAGGAACGCTCAGCCGAAGGCGCACAGTCCAAGTCAAAACAACATCCTTGACAGAAGGCGTACAGGATTATTATTTTCGGATTGTCTTTGTATCATCGAGCGTATTTTTGAAGTCAGAGCTTATTAGGGAACAGTACATTCTTGATTTGAAGATCTTCTCGCAGCTGCTTAAAAGTCGGTATGAACTTGGCTGAAGACATAAGGTACATACCTATGCGTTTTTGGGGAAAATATGAAGCACCAGGAAGCCTCCTTCGTACACATCCTGCACGAACGCATGAGCAAGCGAAACTCGAGATATAAGTATTCTGCACCACCACGAAAACATAACGATCTCGGTCGTGAATGTGTCGGTGGATATGGCGCAACCGACGGACAACCGAGAGCATGGAATGACGACCGGCGGAACGAATATACTGCATTTGGTGCCTATGTATGGTCCCTGGCCTATGAAGCCCGCGCCGGAACTGGAGGTCGTTGTGTATTTTAGGGGCTGCAAAAATCGAAAGCGTCAAGCACTCACTGAATGGTCGTGTTGAATTGTGAATGAGATAGCTGAGTGAGACGCTAAAAAGCAACGCTGGGAGGCCAAAGGACAACGGAAGGAAGAGTTGAAAGCCATGCAGTCGCGATCGCAGCAGGGACTTGAAGTTCACCGCAGATGCATGATGACCGTCTTTTTATTCAGTGGGCTTGGAGGGTCGCCAAAAAGGGTATCGCCATAAGTCAATGTCCATAGATGGTCCTTTGAAAACTTCTTTCCACGTTTCCTCAATCTTCTCAGGATTCGCCCCGAAACAACCAAGTTAATTTGGAAGCGCAGCCCGCTAATACGGGGCCAGGCCATAAGATCTCGGAGGATATAGCCACTGCCCCAGGGATTCGTGACGGCATCTTCTCTTTTGCGTTCAGGGATGAGGTATATTCGAAAATCTCAGTCGATCGGCTTTTCAGGGATGATGTGGAAGACGCACCGGCGGCAGTAGGACTACCCATCCGACTCATCCGCTACTAGAGGCCAACGACGAGTACCAGCTGGCCGCAAGGTGGGGGATCACATAGCGTCCTTACCGGCAGCCCGTCGCGATTGCTGCTTTCGCTGGGCCTAACCACCCGCTGGTCTCTTTGTCTGTATCGGACGGCCTTGATTCCCGGAATATTCTGTGTCTGTCGCTGGAGGTTTCTGGACGCCTGGCAGATCCATTTTGCTTCCGCTTTCCCAAATTGCTTATCTGTTGGGTCACGTGTCCGTGAGTCAAAGCGCCTCCGAAGCTTAAAACAAAACTCTCACCGAATTATTAACATGCAGCGCCTTTAGTAAATGCCAGCCGACTCAGTTTGAAGAGGCTCCGTGTGAGCAATCGACATCCAAGCCTCAAGAACAAGAGTTCTGCCTAAAAGGCGAAGATAAGCACTAGAGTCGCAAACCACGGTTCCGACGCACCTTGCAACAACGACGAACGATGATCTGCTTGTTACGGCTTCAGTGAATATGTCGACTTTGGACGAAAAAGGAAGCATGCCTGCGTGAAGAAACACAATTCTCGCCGTTGAAGAAGATTTTACCCTCCACCCAGAATATCCTGTCCGTCTCGTCAGACACAAGACCTTGAGCCCTTGTCAGAGGCCAACAAATAAGTTCGTCCCGACGATGGCTGGGTCGACACTATAATTAGTCTGCACCGTTGGTTATTTTTTTTTTGTGGCAGGGCCTCGCACAGCGAATCGTCAGCAGGTACACCTTCATCTGCGTCCAGACACTTCTCCAGGGATCTTCTTGCCACCGAAAACAACATTAACAGGTAGGGGAAACGGATGCGTTGCTATCGGCTGCGCAGCAAGCGCGCTCTGAATGTGCCCAGTGCTCGTTCTCGAATCTGTCCATCGAATCCATGCCAATAGTTCAAGAAATTGAAGAATGAAGAATTGAATTCACAAACATTGCGCCTAGGCAAGGACTCAGAGAGCTCCTCTTCGAAGTGAAGGCCATCGTTGAACTTTGTCGAAGGAAGAGGTGGATCGAGACAGCAAGATTTGCGCGATCGGAAAACAATTGCAAATTCACGTCGAATTCGGCACGCTCGAGTGATCACCACCACTGAGCTCGCTTAGGCGGTAAGTGGATGAGCGGTTTCTTGCCGCAGGAATCTCGAGGACGTTGATTCAGGTGCTCCAAGACATAATTTCGCAGGAGGTGCGTCCATTGCGCCTCGAGTTTTCACATCGTATCGAGACAACCATTAGAGAAATCGCATTTTCACGCGGGGCACAACGCACGCATTTTGCTTGCGAAGCACAAGCGTTAGTCTAATGCCCATGGGAGCGCCAGACAAATGAGGCACTCAAGCTCGCCAAGGTTCAGACGCACATTCACGACGCTACCACGACGCAATGGAACCTGGCCCCCGGTGTTCCTCTCTTTTGTCCTGACCAACGAGAATTGGCGGGCGACGCTTTACGAGCAAGGAATCAAAACCTTGGAGATAAGGTGGGGTTTGGAAAGGCGAGTGCTCTGCTGAAATTGCATCTATAGTCGTACGTTTTCAATACTCAAGTGTTCTCAGGAATATTTTCATTATGATGAACGACATCTGAGTCTATTGATGTCCTTCCGGCCAAAATCCTCGCTACGACAAGCATTTCTGTACCAAATTTCTCGGCCAGCTCTTCCTTTTTCTTTTCTCCCACTCATTTGCATCGTAGGTGCCCAAACAAAGCGCAAATCTCACCTCAGGACCTTCCCGATCGCACATCAACCCCCACCCGCAGCATGTGCAGAGGGTACAGCGGCGGGTCCACCCTCAAACGGTGATCCTCCATCCCCTTCGCGGCGTGGGACGGGACTTTTTCTTTGAAAACGCACCACGAATCGGTTTTTCTCTCGTTTGTCTTGGCTATAGACGGCTATCTTTAACCACTTGGATTCATCTAGCTCTCAGTACAACGTCTGGTCGCAAGGAGCAATTCCTGCCGGCTCCCCATCAGCTGTGTGCTGTCTTTTCTTGCATGACGCATGTTCTATATCTCTGTCTTCTCCGCAGCCACAAAACTGTGTTGGCCTTGACTGCTGCTTCTTATTTTGTGCCCGCTGATGCCGTGAAAAACTTCCACTTCGTTTCCGACTGCTCGTCGAATTTACTGAGGCATCACAGATCGTGTCAGGCCCGGGACTTTTACTGGGAGCAACTCAAACTCTCGGTCTAGTTTTTTTTTACACCAGCCTATTCGGTTTGTGCGTTCCTCCAGTCAGCAAGTACGCACCTTACTATTCAGGACTCAGTCGCTTTCATTCGCAATTTTTTTTTTCAAATGCACAGCCGTTGCAGCTCGACGAAGGCTTCGCCGCGGTCCCACCTCTTAGTCTGCGCGCTCTTGCATCTCTTCTTTCGGTCTAAGCCACATCTGCGAGACTCCGCTACGACTCATGAAGGCTCCGTTGCGGTTCCACCTCTAGCGCTCCCGCAGCTCTTCATTCGGTCTTCTGTTGTCCTTCACTCGATTTGCTTGCCTTGTGTCCTATCTCTCTCACTATGAAGAGCACCTTCCAACTCTCCAACTTTGAATGCAAACTTCCTCTGCCGCCCCTCATTTTATCTCTCAATGTCTGATCCTTGACTCGCAGTGATTCATACGCCAGCAGATTCGAGTAAATGACCTGTGTCGTCCATTGTTGGTAACGGACATTTTTCTACGTCTGTGATGGTTGTAAAATTTCGTCCACCAGAGTTGAACATCTCAAACGTTGAGGGATCAACTCTGCTATCTCACCGCGATCTCGTAGACCAAGCTCAATTTTGCATATATGTACAGTCGCCTGGTGACTCTCCTAGATGGCATCGTGGTGTCAGCTTTTGCCAAAGCTCTAGACTCGAACCAGTCCACGGCTCGAATTCCCAACGACAAACGTTTGATCATGAACCGGAGGCACCCTATTTATTGACTGTCATAAATTGTCAGAATAACTACTGGTTTGAATCTACCAGAGCTCTTTTCCTGGAAACATGTCCCACTCGCACTTGGTTGGTACAACAACATTCGATGGATGCCAAGGTACAGAATTGGATTTACGTCGTGCTGTATTGTCGCAGTATCGGTTACACAACAGTTATAAAGCTTGAGATCCGGATGCGAAAAGTATTATTCCCAAGTATGAGGGCAAGTTCAAACTCTACCAACCTATTCGCGGAAGGAGTTGCCGGACGCTCCAGCAAGTGCTTTTTCGTTTTTAAAAAAAACACATGACCTCTGCCCGGATCGAACTGACGATCTTTTGGAAACCGTGGATCGGTGGTCAAACATTCCTTCAGCGAATTTCGATCTAAGCAGCAAATTGATCGTTTTGCTCCAATTTTTCGAGCTTTGTTCAAACTCCCTGCCTGCAGGCCTTCACTTCTAACCTCTATAGGACCCTCATAGACCTCTTGGCTCAGTGGTAGAGCATCTGATTCCAGCGACCTGGATGCCCCCACTGCGCCGTATTGTCAGGTTTCCAGAAGGTCGTCCGTTCGATCCGGGCAGAGGTCATATCTTTTGGTTTTGTTGCTTGTTTTTTTGACTCCGCCAATTCGCAAATACAGTTGCCTTGCCTTACCGTCACTCGATACGTTCTACCACTGACCGAAGAGGTCCTTTAGAGTTGAAAGTGAAGTGCAGTTTAAAAAAAATAAACCAAAAAAATCGGTCAATCTATATTCTTTGTGGATTGCACTCTGTCTTAGACTTCATACAACATGGCAGCCCAGAAGCCCAGAATCCCAATAAATTACAAGCCACTGCTAGGCAATATGGGAGAATACCCTAACACCCAGGGCAACAGCCAACATACATAATCTGAGTGCAGAGAGGTGCATTTAACGCAATAGGCATGCATTGCTCTTCGCCTCGCAGGAAGAGACGACACAGCCTACAGGGTCGACCGGAAAAGCCAGTCACAATCATCGCAGATGCAGCTCGTGAATCCAGCTAGACAGTGTTGAATCGTCTGCCGAATTGACTTTCTGGCGGAATACACACTCCTTGCTTGGACCGGCAAGACATTCGCCAGGAGCCACTGGCATGGTCCTTCGAGTTGATCTCTGCTTTCCAAAGAAACTTTGCACATCGAAACACCATCGGTAAGACATCGCAGTGTTTCACCCCCATGACTGCGTAGACGTCTTGAGGTATGTTGATAGACTCAAAGCCGAGGAAGCAGGAAAGCCTGAGATCCCAAAAAAAGTTGTGTTGGACGCAAAGCTCGAATAGCATCCCCAAGACTCGAATAATTCGCCTGCCCGAAGGCTCGAATAAGTTGCATGCCCAAAGGTTCGAATAAATCGCATGCCGGAAGGAAAATCGCACGCCCGATGTCGCCTTCCCGAAGGTTCGAATAGGTCGTACGCCCAAAGGTTCGAATAAGTCGCACACCCAAAGGCTCGAATAAATCGCTTGAAGGCTAAATGAAATTGCATGGCCGAAGGCTCGGATGGCAGCTCGGATAGTATGCCTGGAGGCTCAAATAGAAAGCGTTCGAAGTAGCATATGCATGATCGGCATCGCACTGTGGTTTGGATAGGTATAATTGGCGGACAGTGGCCAAGTTAGCGTCTAGTCTGAATCTTGAGTCGTGAAATGCTCAAGTGTGGTGCATTCCAAAATAATGAGGCGAGATGCTGACAGCAAGATAGGAGTCGCACGGAAAAGCACCGAGAAGTAGACAACACCAGTCCGAAAAGCTGGAACCGAAACCAGCCAAGATATTGCGAGGTCGTAGTCCAGAGCAATATTAATGGGAAATCAGCTTGCTGGCGATCTGCAAACGTGCAACTGGTCCAGCTTGAAATGCAGATGATAGCAGAAGGGACTAAAAAGTGATTGGATCACATGGAGTTTGTGCTTTACCTCTCTCCCATTTCATGGAAGCTGGCCCGCTCAAACGCAAAGCGAGCTCGTCCTTTTCTTCCTTGTTTCCATCTAATATTGCCTGCCAGATAACCGTCGTCAAAGTCACAGAGGCCTCGCCCCAGAGAAACCATGTCTCCCGCTCTCCATCACCGTACAAGGACTACCCAGCTGCCCCGTCCCCGACCTTCCGCCCAAAGGCAAAGGTCAACAGCAGCGCAACTCCAAATCTTGCTTCACGCAAGGCCACCAGCGTCGTCTCCTCGTCCGTCCTCAGTAGAACCTCATCCGTAAGAAGTGCCGCGAGCACCAGCACGTCTCGAACAGGCGCTAGCCTCACACCGCGCTCGGGCTCGCCGTCCAAGCAGCCGCTGTCGTCGGCCCCAAGGCCACGTGCGGCTATAACGCGTGGTTTGACTGCCAAAGTCGGTTCTCAGGAGTCCCGCAGAGCTTCACTGTCAAGCCAACCCGGGTACGCGTCTCCAAGCATCGCGTCGTCCTCACCGGTCCTCGTGTCCGATATACTCAATCTTTCCGACGACGAGGAAGAAAGCCCTATTCTTTCCCCGCGAATCACCTCTAAACTCTCAAGACGAAGCAGCAGTGAAGTGCCCCCGTCACCCGTGTTGCCCCCAAGCTCTCTGCGCGTTCAACATCGCGCGCGCGTTCCTTCAGTATCATCTAATGCATCTTCCTCATCCAGTCCGTTCTATTCAGCAAATTCCGCCACGTCCGCCGCCAATCCCCATCGATTTCCTTCTCCCCCCTCCAACGCGGGCAACTACTACCAGCCTTTCCCACGAGACGACGCCAGCCCCAAATACCCCCGGGTCAATGGCGTTGCCAAAGTCGATCCTACCGCGATCCCGCTGCCACCCATTCCCCGCCGACATCCACTGTGTCCTTCTCCTCCCGCTCCTCGCGTTCGCCCTCCTCCACTTCGTATGCAACCGAATCGGGAACGAGTCAGCTTAGCGCGCCGCTCCCCGGCAGTTCACGCGATCCAACCGACGCGAGCATGCGTAGCGGCCTCGAGAATCTAATGCATTTAAGCGACATGCTTCCGACGGCAGAAGACGGCGAGGACGATTCGGACGACGACGACGACGACGAGAGCCACGAGGACCAGCTGCGCGCGAGCACCTTCGAGCGCAAGGTCCGCGCCGAGGCCAAGTCTGTGCGCAAGGTACGTCGGGCGCGCCTTGCGCGTTGTGTGCGTGCTGACTCGCCCGCCCGCAGATCGCGGACCTTGAGATCACAAATCGCTCGCTGCTGGCGATCAACACGTCGCTTGAGCAGACGAAGCACCGCCAAGCGAAGGAGATCCGCGAGCTACGCCGAAAGCTCCGCGAGTCGCGTCTCATCCTTCCGCCGCGCGCGTTCCGTGCCGTCAAGTCTCAAGACCAGGATGACACTGGCGAGGACGAGGATGACGACGGCGAAGACGAGGAAGAAGCGGTTGAGGCGGAGAAGGCGCGCGAGGCGCATGATGTGACGTACCGCCGCATCAAGGTCATCCTCGAAGGTCTCCTTGAAACGGGCCGTGTCGCGCTCGAGACGACGGCGCAGGACTTTCCTGAGCCGATCAAGATCACTAAAGTTCTCAGCGCGTACGAGGTGCCTGACTTGCACGCCGACGATGAGAACGACGACGAGCAGCCGCCGGAAGCGAAGGCGCGCGTGTCCACGACACCATCGCATGCTGCAGTGCCCGATAGCGCCGACGACCTGACGTCTGAAGACGAGGTAGAAGCTATGACCCTTCCGCGTGATTCCCCACCCCCATCACATCCGCCATCTCCCCGCCCTCCTGAGATGGAGCCCGCACCTGCATCATAGAGCTGATTTATCGCATTTGCCTGCGTGTACACTACAGAGTTATTTAGATACCCGTACAATCTAACGAATCGTCCATTGTACTATTGAATACAAACACCGTCGAGATGTTAGTTACTCGGTGTCCCGTATCTGCTGTGCCCGCTTTGCCAGCTAAAGATGAAACAGATTAGGAGGAATGAAAGAGTATAAAAACAGAACGCACAGCTGCGGCTAAATCCATGTTCGCGCCACCCATACCGCCAACGGGTTTCGACGCCCCGCCGGACGGCGTCGGCCGCGGCGCGGTGGGGATAGCAGGTTTCCCGGGTACCTTTGGGGTGGGTTTCGTCCCTACGGGCGGCGCAGGCTTGGGCTTTGCCGCCACTGGCGGTGGTGGCTTCCCCGCCAGCGAACTCCCGGGCCTTGAGCTCGCGGGCGAGTCCGAGGACGCGGTCGGCGTCTTCTTCCACGGCGTTGCCGACCCGTTCGAGGCCGCCATGCCAGGGAAAACAGACACTGGCTTCGCAGAAGCGTCGGCCGTTAACGGGGAAGCGCGCACCGTATTGGTGGCGGGCTTGGAGGGTACAGGACGATTTCGCGCGGGCGGAGGCGGCGCTGCCGCTGCTGGAGCGGGGACCAGCTCCAGGTAGTTGTTCGGAGCCCATCCTTGGACTCCGTCCTTCTTCACTAGCCACCAGCCATTGTCGTCCTGTTCCAACAGCTCCACCAGGTCGTCCTTCGCCAGGGTCATCTCACCTTCCTCTCCGGCAAAGTCAAACTTGGCGCGATACATAGGCACTGCGGGTTTTGCCGGCGCTGCTGGGGGAGGCGGTGGTGGTGGCGGTGGGGCTGCGACACTGGTGCGCTTCGTTGGTGGAGCACGGACCGCAGCTGACGAGGACGTGGGTGCGGGCTTGGGAGCCGCCGGCTTGGCTTGAATCACTGGTGCGCCTACAGCAGATGTCGTTGTCTTTCCGGGAAGAGGACGAGCAGTGGGCTTGGGTTTCGACGCAGGTTTCGGCTTCTAGAAATTCAAACTTGGGTCAGCAACGAGATATACATGTCTAGGAAAGTAAAGTACATCAGAAGGACCTCCCGCCTTGAGCAATTTCCCTTGAGTAATAGGCCGGACGATACCAGGTTTTCTCTTTGCCGGCGGACGAGAAAGACTGCCTGCCGGCTCCCCGGAAGGGACGTGTACCGTGTGGCTTTTGTAGAGATCGTCTTTCTTGACGGTTTCATCCTTTATGAATTTGATCTCGGCCTTCTTATCCTTCTTCTTCGAGTAGGTCATCCTGACCTTATTTGTTAGCGGGGAATACTTCGATTGAGCGAGATGACGTACGTCGGTGAAATCAGTAAGCTGATACTAGCCTGGGTCAGAGCCAAGAGATTGGCGACTAGTTCCGTCTTGAAATAGCAGCTGAAAATAGGGTCACCCTCCTCAGCCGTGTTGCCGTTCAAACACTGGAACAATTGTCAGCAAATGCACCGTTGACAGTCGAACACTTGCGCACCATCCAATCGTCTCGTAAATTCGACATCCCGATACTTTTGATGGTGACCAATGGGATTTTCCTCTCCAATGTTGTCTGAGCGCGACCATCTTTGGCAGTTGTGACCACAATATGGACGGCTTTCTGGGTCTATAAACAGTCAGCTTGATAGCACATTCTGGATCTGAATATACGAACCACGACAAGGAATCGGGGGCTAGGTTTACTGGAACGACCGATTTTGGATACTAAAAGTTGAATTCTACCACTGAATGTGACCTGCTCGTCTGCGAAAAGCTCAGCAGCATGAAACAAAGAAAAATTGTCAAC